TTCCTGCTAAGTCACTTCCAGCTTCAAATGATTTCAGTCCGTGACCAAGCAGTGAGCCGCGCGCAAGTAGTGTAAAACCCCTGTCTACGGGAACCACAAATCATTTCCTCATTTAACCGGATCGTGAATATGATTTGCTATCTTCACCCAAGACTCTGGGCTATGGAACGACAGAGGACCGTCTTTCCTCTCTTGTACGATATGGCCCATGATCTGGTTCTGTATTCGCCTCCGTAAATGACATTCCTGTCCAAGCGGAGTTGTGTTCACGATTGAAATAAAAGGGCGGCTTGATCATGTCATGTTTTGGAGTTTGAAGTTCAGGCAAGCTACTAACTCCAGACTTCTCGCTCTTCACACCATCTCAGCATAGTACCTACCACTTGTTAGGTTCTTTCTCTCAGGATGTATAATAAAGCTACCACCGCCGCTTTGGCGACTCTGCTGGCCCTAGGTAATGCCCAGCAAATCGGCAAGCAGGACGCCGAGACGCATCCCAAGATCACCTGGCAGCGCTGTACTGGACCCGGTAAATGCTCCAACGTCAACGGCGAGCTCGTCATTGACTCCAACTGGCGATGGACTCACGTGGTGGATGGTTACCAGAACTGCTACGACGGCAATGAGTGGAACCAGACTGCATGCCCGGATGCCGACACCTGTACGAAAAACTGTGCCATTGAGGGTGCCGATTACTCCGGTACATATGGTGTGACCACTTCCGGCAACGCCGTTACCATGAAGTTCCGAAATGAACACCAGTATGGTGTCAATATAGGGTCCCGTCTTTATCTTATGAACGGCGCCGATAAGTACCAGATGTTCACAGCCAATGGCAACGAAATCGCCTTCGATGTCGAGAACGCTGACCTGGGCTGTGGTCTGAACGGTGCCGTATACTTCGTGTCCATGGACGAAGATGGTGGAAAGACACGCTATCCCTCCAACAAGGCCGGTGCCAAATACGGTACGGGATACTGCGACTCGCAGTGTGCTCGAGATCTGAAGTGGGTTGGTGGCAAGGTAGGCCAGGCTCAAGCAGTCCCAATATCTGAATAGGACGTCAACTAACTTTACCCTTCTTCTTTTAGGCCAATGTTGAGGGCTGGGAACCGTCAAAGACGGACAAGTCTTCTGGTATCGGTAACTCGGGAGCCTGCTGTGCTGAAATGGACTTATGGGAAGCTAACAGCATGTCCTTCGCATTGACCCCTCATCCATGCAAGAAAGACGGATACTTCGTCTGCAATACGAAGGACTGCGGCGGTACGTATTCCGAGGATCGCTACTCAGGTAGCTGTGATCCAGATGGCTGTGACTTGAACCCGTTCCGTCACGGAAACACCGACTTCTACGGCAAGGGAAAGACAATCGATACTAGCAAGAAGTTCACCGTCGTGACCCAATTTCACGGCTCCGGCACGTCTCTTACAAGCCTCTCTCAGTATTTCATCCAGAACGGCAAGAAGTTTGAGGTACCCAAGTCCAAGTACATTTCTGGTGGCAGCACGATCGATGCTGGCTTCTGTGGTACGTTTTTTGCTTAAATATCCACATTAATACTAATACCTACCGCTAATGCTTAATTCTGCAAATAGATGCTGCTAAGGATATCTTCAAGGACAACAAGCAGTTCCAGGAGATGGGCGGTTTGAAAACGATGGGTCAGGCCACCGGCAAGCCTATGGTCTTAGTCTTATCCGTTTGGGATGATGTAAGTGAAACATATCACCCGCCCTTGGCGGATAATGTAACCTGACATATCGATAGGCTTACGCCAACATGCTTTGGCTTGATGGTGAAAAATATCCCCTTGATCGCTCCGCGTCCGAGCCGGGTGTTGCCCGCGGCGAATGCGACGTCAACGGCAGCAAGCCCGAACAAGTCCGTGAAAAATTCAAGAACGCCAAGGTCACTTACAGTAACTTCAAGTTCGGACCCATCGGATCGACTTACAACCTTTAAGTTGGCGCGCGTTCCCCGCTCCCCGCAAGGGCGATCGTGGTCTAGACGTGAAGGATCCGTTCAGTTCACTGTTATAATTCTTACGACCATTAGTTTGTATATACGAGATATTTAAGAGATAGAAGTATAAGTATTTAAGTGAAGATTTCCATCGACGTTCTCACCAAAAGTAATTTGCACTTCGAATACACACTATGTCTTATACCACTTGTAAGAACTTCGACGTAGGATGTAACGTACCTAAGGCATCTTATACTAGTTGGTTATTGATCACTTGTTGGTAACAAGACACAGTTAGGTCCACAAATGAGATGTGTCATACTTATTATCACCTTCCCGTCTTGTAGAATCGACGATCTAGAATTGATGTTGACGATACTTCAAGAATCGTGAGCCTATGACAAGCGAGGTCTCCATAGCAACTATGCCGAATAGATCGAGGATCGAATAGCCGATATGAGGTGTCACGAACAAAAAATTGCAGTCCCTGTTTGCCTTTGTCTAGGGAAAAATCTTTTTTCCACCGATGGATCGACGGCAAGTTGCGGCTCACAAAAAAAGGTGGATTAGAATATCCACATAGACAGAAAATCTAGTTCACGAGTGTGGATAAAGGTGGAGAGCTGAGACGGCTAAGAGAAAACTGAGGTGAAAATATTTCAGGAGTTGTGACCAGGTGGGGCTTTCAGAAGATTTAAGTTGAGTCCATTCCATCGGCGAGCCCCGCCGGATTAATTACATAAGAGGTACGTACTAATTGTATGGGAAAAAATAATTTTCCTGTCACCAGGAAACGAGCGGCTCCAGTTGGTTACCCACGGTTGGCTACACGTATCTAAGCTGCTATGGAACCTAGGTCACAATATACCGAAGTACAAAAGTACAATTCATGTGACGGCCATGGATCTCCGAGATGAGATCAGTTTTCGAAATCTGAAATGGCTGAATTGCGGCATAGCAGCTATGTATTATGTATTCTATAGAGTTCCACAAGTCTATTCCAAAATTGGATAGTCAGGGGAATATTCAGATTTCAAAAAGTTTGATCTCCTTTGCCGTTGTTTTCCATTTGGCATTTTCCTTGTTCTATTCTAGAACTTTTAGTTCGGACCTCTTCCAGGTCCTTCGCCCACTTCCGCCGGCCCCCGATTCGGTAAATGGATGCACCGTTGTGGATCTCATAGGGTAACGATCGAGTAACACGGCCCACCAGCCATCTGGTCGTGGCTCTCCTATGGCTCTTTAGTGGTTCCAGCAACCATCGTATGTTCTCCGTCCTTCACGATGGCTTCGATCAAGTGGAGTCTATAAAATTTCTTACCAGATCATGGTACCTTTGTCTATTTCCCGAATTAGCCAGGCGAGGTCATGAGTTAATTCGGCGGTGTGGTTGTCTCCATTGTATCACAACGTCTAATGAAGGCGTCATTGTCAGTAGTTGAAATAGCATTATGTATTTGGTGCCTAATTGGAAAGCTTACTTTCCTAAGTTAATTTGGTCTGTGAAGGGATTAAATTCCCATACTAATGAAACCTTACAACTTTGCATTTACCTTATTAGCTGAAGTTTACCCGACGTTTAGGTACCTAAGCCATTGACCTTGGTTTGTAATGTATTTAATTGGAAAGCTTTGCCGGTAAAGCTTTCTAATTAACACAGCTCGTTGTGTTACAGGGTATTTTTGCTGTTTACATGGTAGATATTGCATCAGCTGCTCCGTCTTCCACAGCTAACCTTATACGGTTTCTGTATGTCTAGTGTATCTGTTCCGACCCCGTAATGTACGCAGGGCTGATTGCGGGGCATTTTGCGGCGTTTCCGTTGTGGAAGTTAGGTGTGTTCGGTGTGCAGTATGCCCGTTTACAAGAAATCTTATAAGACTTTTCACCATGGGGAAAAATAGAACGCGTCTTCTTCGGCCCCTTACCCACAAAATAGATACCTTAGGTAAATACTAATGATGCTCCTAAAAAGAGGTATGAAAATTTAATATTCAGGATCCCCCTTGAATCTGGCTAAGTTTTCAACTCTCCGCTTACGTAAATTCAGCGCCGCTAAAGTCGTTTGTACCTTATGTAGTCAAACGTGCACCAAAAAAACTTACCTAAGGATACGACCGAGGAAGAGGCGCCAGACAAGGAGCAACAAATCAGTTACAGGCGCTTGAATACGTGCTGAGGACCCCTGTGACCGCTGCGACCTAGTGGGGGAGCTTAAGGGCCTTGCCCGCCTGTAACTTGTAGAGTTTGCGCTGTAACTACAAGGGGCCGAGCCCAATCCGTCTCAATCCATGACACATAATTACTTGATGGAAAGCTCTGGTCGAAAGCATGATGTGAGGCAAGCCTTTAATTGCGCCAGCTACATAACATCTTGGCTACCCGCCATATTACACCATGATGGAAACTTTATTGTTAGTATTGAAATATAACCTCAAAAGAAGACGTAAGCGTGACGAAGCGAAGTGCACCAAGACTCGACTAACTACGCTTTAATATCATCGCTCATCAGCCCTACACCACTTACACCACTTGGCACTTGCACGATCCACCCAACTACCTCATACCTAGCAACGCTGCGCAAATTCACAACGGGTTTTATCTTTTTAGAAACACGTATAAAAGAAGAACCTATCGAGGTCTAAGGCTTATCTATCATTAGCCATTCTTCAGCTTCTTACCTCGTCACCGTTCCATCGAGACTCTTTCGTGGCGTGCACTTACGGACATCATCACGGCCAATCAAAAGCCACAACGAATCGTGAATATTCCCAAAAGGGACACAAAGCGCCGGTACCAGAAATCGGGATAAAGAACAGCAAAAAAACGATCGAAAGTCGACAAAGTTATTCGTTTTTACGAATCCGCATATACGATCCTTTCGCATTGATAGCTGATTGTCTCTACCTATTTGAAAGTTTGGTTATATTTCGCCATTGCTCTGAAATTAGGCATTATTCCCCGGGTTTCATAGCATCGACTCAGCGCAACAAAGAGGTGACCGCCACCCGGATGCATTAGTTCAGGTCCAGGTTCAGGTTTTACCTAGATCCATCGGCATCGGCATCGAGCGGCAAGCGAATCGCAATCGCACCTACTTCCTTCTCTACCTGTTAAGACGCAAGGAAGTCACACGACGTAAGAGGATCCACAGGTCTAAGTGACCTAAAGCCATTCGTCAAAATGCCACATCGAGTTGTAGACTTTTTTAGGTCTTCTAACGACAGCATTCACAATATTAAGGCGTCGGTACAACGGAGGAGTAATCCCAACTCTCGATCAGCCTCCAGAGAACGGCCCACCGTAACTTCGGTGCTCGAAAGTGCCGCCGATCACACTCAATCCCTGATTTCCGCCGCACCACCCGTGAAGATGGCCGAACCTCCAAAGGAAAAACATAAGGACTCTCATAGCCACCATCGCCTAAGTTTTCCGAGCTTGCATCTTGGTGGATCTAAGTCTTTAAAGGAGCCACCGCAAAATCCCAATGCATCGTTAGACTGGAAGATTGAGTCGCCACCGGTCGTCATGCACGGCGAGCCGGAGAACAGCACAGGCGCCTTGATTTCCGGCCAATTATTACTCGACGTCAAGGAGGATGGGTTTGAAGTTGAAAATTTCAGTGCCAGGTTAAACATCCATGTCATACAGAAAAGGCCGTTTACAGGGCACTGCCAGCAATGCTCGAATCAAACGACAGAGCTCAAGTCTTGGACATTCTTGAGCGAGCCAACGACTCTTTCTAAGCGTAAGTCCATCCTTACCTTTTCCGGACACCTTTTTTAATACATGACTTACACGATATGCAGGTGTTCACGAGTTTCCTTTCTCTGTTCTCCTTGATGGGCATCTACCTGCGACAACGGACAATGCGGTTGTCGCCATTCGGTACGACTTCTTCGCCGAGGCTATTCCCCGAACTGGGCCTACTGTCAAGCTCACGAAGAATATCGACGTAAAGCGATCACTCCAAGTGCCGGAACTGCCCCACCACAGCATTCGCATATTCCCCCCAACCAACATCGCAGCTAGCGTGCACTTCACGCAAATTGTACATCCCATTAGCACTAACACATTCACCCTGCGCCTTGACGGTATCGTCAAGCATAACCCCGATGTCAAGACTGTGGAGTATTGGAAGCTAAAGCGGCTTTCGTGGAAGCTAGAAGAGAATATGGAGACCGTGGCGCCAGCATGTGAGAAGCACGCGCCAAAGGATCCAGAAACCGGCTTGCCAACGAAGAAGGGCTCGAAGCGCAGCGATTCACGGATAATAGCTCATGCGGACATGCATAGCGGCTGGAAGTCGGACTACTCTCCATCTGGGAGCATCGAGATGGAAGTCCAGTACCAGATTGCACCTAGTACGAAGACTGTGTGTGACATGAAGAGCGAAGATGGTACCCAAATTACACACCAATTGGTTGTAGAGATGGTTGTTGTCCAAGAATATGCATCCACTGCTCATCCTAAACATATCACGCCTACTGGAGTGGCACGCATATTACGCATGCACTTCGGTGTCGTGATAACTGAGAGGGCAGGGTTAGGCGTTAGCTGGGACAACGAGGCACCTCCAATCTACCAAGATGTCCCGCCTTCGCCCCCTTCCTACTCATGCGACATACCTTATGAGAGCATCGAGAGCGTCGAAGATTTGACACTAAGTCGACAGAGTCAGGAGATTGGGAGCAGGGCCCAGAGCCCGGCATACGAGGAGCGAGCACCGTCAAGTGCGGGAGCCGATGAGGCCGCACGTTAGGATCCGTCCGACCGCCGGCATGGCATGTTTAGACGATGTTCGTTGTTGAATAAGTTGCGGAAAAAGTAGTGTGGGTTTCATTTGTCTTGCAAAAAAAATATTATACCCCATCAGCGATGCTTCAACGGATTGTCAGAGCTTTTTTTTGCATTGGACGAGGATAGATAGAAAGGTGGAATTCTGCCACCCACAGCCCACAGCGCATGGCATTGGCATGGAGTTTAAGAGCCGCAGTCTAGACGGCAGTTAGACATACCCAACATGGTGCCGCAAAAGGCAGCATGGTAATCAATATAATGAAAGATAATTCTCGAAATGTACGTCAATTCAAGTAATCGTAATAATTATTTCATCGGTGAATTTTAATGCTCGGGTCAGTTAGTAAATGTTGCCGAATTAGTCGGTGTTCATATTCCATCAAGTGGTTTAGATTCTAGGTGGTATACTATGTACCTTATATTAGTGATTACCTAGGATAGGCGAGGCTTAATAGGCTTACTGCCTAGGGAACCTATAATTGGTAAGTGGTTTAATATTTGGTATGAAATTCTAAGCTAAAGTTATATGCAATATAAGTATAATAAGTTTTAAAAATTAGAGAATTAATATTTACACAGTTCGTGAAAATGAGACTTCTCGGGTGTCCAACTCACATCAATTCAAGATCAGTCCGTTAGATTTTCAAGAACGTTGATTGTCGGATAAGGTGACGGCGACAGATAATGATGAGTAGTACAACGACTTGCGAGAAAGGATTTCCAAGCTGGATCATCATTGAAATTGAAATTGCAAGTGACGCGCTTAGATCTTGCGTAATGCCATAGGTCGACTTTGTCTGCCCTATTTAGGCCTGAGAACTTACACCATAATCCGAATATTTCCAAGTTGGGGAGAAAATTCCACCGGTCAACTGCGAAGTCAACCAATAATCTCTTCACGATCTCGGGATTGAATCTATACTTATCGTTGTCTGCAAATAGATTCACTTCCTCTAAAGAAGGTGGTAAGATCCTAACCAAGCATGGAATAGCTTCGAATGCCTCGGGCGGGATTTTTCCCAAGATATCCTCGCGGATTAGCCCCCCTCTCTCCTCAGTCTCGAACGCGGGGGTGTGGAACACCCGGACATCAAGGTCAAGCCTTTTGAGATTTGTGAACTCTTTCATAGAGGTCACTCCATTGACTACATGGCCATCGAGGTACTCCAGGGTTACGATAAGCTCTTCCAAGTGGTGGCCTACATTCTTCCCAATGGCGGCGATAAAGGCGGCTGCATCCCAGCGATCCAGCGAAGGTCTGCTGTTATTCTTAGACACGTAGCTAAACCTGAACGATTCCAGACAGGGCGTGCGGGATAGTAGGAGAGATATACCGTCGCTATCCACATAAGTGTGCTCTAATACAAGTTTGCGCAGGCCCAAACTCATATCTAGAGAGCGACGGTGATATCCTAACGTGAGCGGCCCACCGCCATAATCCTCACAGTTAGTGAGGGATAATAATTTAGGATCTGGCGTAGTAAAAAAGGACAATAAGGCGCGTAGGTCCATCTTCTCGTCGTTGTTTTCGAGGTCCCGAATCCACACGCGGGTCAACTGTCCTAGGGACGTCCCCTCGGGGTTCTCTTCAATCCTCCGACTGATCGTCTCCATCACGCTGCGCGCCTGCGAATAGTACTCGTGATTCCAGGGGGACGTAGCCGGCGATTCCATAGCGTGTCGGTAACTTAACGGCGGGGATAACATCAAGGATTTGAGGTTAGGGAAAAGCGTGAGTACAAACGTGCCCATAAATACCAAATATTTATCGCGACCTTCGATATCGAGAACCTCAACTCGAGAAAGGATAACTCTTGCCCATTCCTCCACGTCTACTCCGGCACGGCGCAAATACGGCGATTCCGTGATAAACGCCCTCAAGCGCTTCATCGCCAGCGCGTTGCCGGTAAGACGTTTGCGCGGGTAGACCACGTCCGGCCCCCTCCGCCGCTGGCAAAAATCGACATGCCAGACATATCTTGCCACAACCGGGTCGTTCGCGACGCTGTAAATCCAAGTGACGATAGGCACATAGTCCAAAATGCCCTCGAAATTGAGATAGCGATTTTCTCGAATATAAGAAGCGTGAGTATCGATTAAAGACCTGCCGCATTCGTAAACGTAGCGACAGGTCAACATAAGCTTCTCAAACCCCTCGGGCATCGACTCCCGTATGACCTGGTGGAGAATCTCCGGGGGGAAATCCACGAGAGGCATAATTGAATAATAGCACCTCGCGCAGGGATGATTGCTATAATATAGTAATTATATATAAATTATAATATAAATAAGCCAGTTTATTATTGCCGGAGCTCTCGGTTTGAGACCCCTCAAGGCGAGGGGTGTCGAGAGCGAATCTCGCCGTAGCCTTATTGTGCAGGAATTCATGTTAAGCTGCTGCGCCGCAATTGGGGCGTTAGGCGAATTCAGGCATCAAAACAGGTGTTTGATGTAACGTCCCATTATACGGGGAATATCTATATATTTGCGTTTATGTCCGTTAAGGCATAGCTTTATCTACTAGGTTAGTTATCTTCTATCCATGAACTTCTTAAGATAAAGAATATGGAAGAATTGTTTTATTTACAGGAAGTTAGTTTAGGACTATGTAACTATAAGATAGATACGCTTAAGTAATGTGAGTCTTGTAAAAGCCAAGCACCTTTAACCCGTCTTAATCATCCAACCCCAGCGATAGTATGAGTAAAGTCAACATTTCTAATAATTTATGTAATCGACTATCATACTCAATTGATCCAACATTAGCCGGAAAGGAGGTTTGTGCTTTCAATTACTCTTTTCGTACGTTCCGATTGCGCCATCGATCCGACCAAAGTCGGCAGCGTTTAAGGCGGGGGAATTGCGTTGACACGATATCACAATTTCAACGCTCAAACGGCTTAAACACCATAACGTACCTAACACTAACATACAAACAAAACACATTACTTAGACTAAGTTCATTAAGACCGCTCCAATCATGAGAAACGTCCTGATTGAAAACCCCTCAGGCACCCCCGTGGCTGAGATGTCTACGAATAGAGGTCTAGCGGGACACAAGATCCTGCTAATCGTGCCTTGGGACCCTCCTGCGGGATACGTCGATGGCTTGCGCAAGACCTATCCGGGCCTCAAGGTATTCCATATCCGTTGGGATACATGGAGCAGGCCCGACCTGCCGCCCAATATTACGCCCGAGGATTGGAAAACAGTCACGATCCTTCTCATTGGCCCTCGGTTTCCTACTAGAGAACAGGCGCCTAGGCTACAGCTGGTGCAGCTTCAGAGCGCCGGGGCAAATTATATATTAAATAATCCTCTTTTCACCGACACCGATGTTGCTTTTTGCACGGCGAATGGCGTTCATCCGTAAGTCTTGTTCGTCGGCGTTATATATGATGTTAAATACCTTATGTCCGATTCTGTTAAAACTGACCTCGAATCGCCCATAATACTAGACCGCAAATCGCAGAATGGGTCATAAGCACATACCTCGCTTTCCAGCATAATAGTGAGTATTCCGAACGTGATTATACTAAAAATACTAACTCTGCCACTCGTAGTCCCACGTTTCCTCGAGCATCAGAAGGAGCACAGGTGGGAGCACAGTTACGATGACTCGGACACCCAAGATGCTGTCAACCAACGAGTGTAAGTCTTGTTATTCTAAGAACCGATTTTCAAATATCGATTACTGACAGTGCTTCGTAGCGGTATATTGGGATACGGAAGTATCGGACGACAAGTAGCACGGATAGCCAAAGCTATCGGCATGGAAGTATACGCGTACACAAACAGACCCAGGCCTACGCCCGAGTCCCGTCGCGACCACTCGTACATCGTCCCCGGCCTCGGCGACCCAGACGGTTCTCTCCCATCAAAATGGTTCTCGGGGACTCAAACCGAAGAAATCAACGCGTTCCTCTCCGCGGACCTGGACCTCCTCGTGCTAGCCGTGCCCCTAACCCCGCAGACGCAGGGGCTCATCGCAGCGCCGCAGCTCAAGCTCCTCCGGAAGAAGCGCACTTTCGTCAGCAACATCGGCCGCGGCCCCGTCGTCAACACGGACGACCTGGTCACCGCGCTCAACGAAGAATGGATCCGCGGCGCCGCCCTCGACGTCACGGACCCGGAGCCCTTGCCCAAGGGCCACCCGCTCTGGGACGCGAAGAACGTGATTATCACGCCCCACGTCAGCGGCAACTCGACGAGCTACAACCGCCGTCTGCTGGATATCCTGGATATTAATCTTCGCAACTTGAGCGAGGGCAAGGAGTTTATGAATCGGGTGAGCAAGAAGAGGGGCTATTAGACTAGGTATTCGACTGGTGGAGGATATACTTCCGGCCTTTCCGTTGGTAAAGGGAAAAAAAGGAAATTAGGGGAAATTGAAAAGCCAGTACCTGTATCTATCAATTGCTTATTCTGTGGATTTATCTTTATCCTATATCTTTCCTTTTAGATATGTCAGGACCTATATATTTAAACTTACCTCAATATCCGGCCCCCTATCCGTGCATTACTTGTAGATACCACTTCTTCATATCAAGATATACTCAAGTCTATTGGCCATAACGACTCATTATCAACGCTTAAATTCCCCTACTACTGCTCGCAAGGCCCGATTTTAATTATATAATTTTTTATTTAATTTATTCGCCCGTAAGAACAACCATCCCATGTTACATCACTGGCACTCCGTACCTAAAATAGTATACATCGCAATTTACACTTCAAACCCGGGACTACTACCTACTCTCAAGCAGGCCCAAGAATCTCATCGGAAATCGCCCTCCCCGCTGCCCTGCCCGAGAAAATACACCCGCCGAGGAACGTGCCCTCGAGCGAGTTGTACCCGTGAACTCCGCCGCCGCCGAACCCGGCCGCCTCGCCCGCTGCGTAGAGACCAGGGAACTTCTCGCCGTTTGCCTTCATAACATTGCTTTCTAAATTCGTCTCGAGTCCGCCAAGCGTCTTGCGCGTTAGGAGGTTCATGTGGACGGCGATCAGCGGGCCGTGCTTCGGATCTAGGATCTGGTGGGGTGCCGCTACGCGGCGGGTATCAGGCCAGTAGTTGCGGCCGTTGCGGATGGCCATCGCCTGCGCATCCTTGCAGTAGCTGTTGACGAACTGGTCGTCGCGCGTCTCGACGACTTCCCGGATAGCCTTAGGGTCGAGTATTGGCCCGCCGACGGATTTAGCAATCTCATTCATGCCAGCGACTAGGTCCTCGAGGTTGTCGCGCACGACGAAGTCCTTCCCGAACTTTTGGAAGTTCTGGACGGGCACCGTGCCCTTAGAGCTAAAGACCCGGTTTTTGAGGAGTTGCCAGATGCTCTTCTCTGTCAGGTCGGGGTTCTGTTCTGAGCCTGATAATGCAAATTCGCGGGCGATGATGGATTGGTCGAGAATAAACCAAGTGTAGTCGTAGCCCGTACTGCATATGTACTTGAGTGTTGCTAATGTGTCACATCCGGGGTATAGGAATGGCGGAAGCCTTTTCCCGGTTGCATCTAGCCAGAGTGACGATGGTGCCGGCAGGACACGGATTCCGTGATCTGGCCAGATTGGATTCCAGTTCTGTAGGCCCTCAGTGTAATGCTGTATTAATCAGTTAGTGCATATCATATAAACCCAGGAGTCCCGAGTGTGAAGTGACAGATCCAATCAGATTAATGAGGGTTTCGCCACTTCTTAATAACGATAAAGGGGGAAAATGAATTGCATATTACTTACCCACATCCTGTCGCGATTGATGAAGTTGGCGCCAGCCGACTCCGCAATTCCCACCATCCGGCCATCAACGTGCGCGGGAACGCCAATGACGAAATTCTGCGGTACCTTTGGCCCAAGACGATCTACGGGCCATGCTTTCTTTACCGCTTCCACGTTGCCTCCGATGCCTCCAGAGGAAACAATTACCGCCGCGCCATGGAGCTCAAAGTCACCTACTTCTTCCCTCGACGTCTTGACTCCTCGAGGCGACGGGTCTTGCTCAAGAATACGTCCTCGGACTCCGGATGCTCTCCCGTTTTCATCGACAAGTAATTCATCTACCCTATGTCTAAACTTAAACTCCACAATACCTTTTTTCGCCGCCTCTTGGACGGGCTCGGCAAACACGCGCACAACTTCGGGCCCGGCGCCCCAGGTAATGTGGAACCGCGGGACCGAGTTTCCATGACCATCTGCCGTACCGTCGCCGCGCTCGGCCCAACTCACCATAGAGAGGAACCCAGCACCGCGGTCCTTGAGATACTTCTCCATCCCATCCGTAGCGAAGTCGACAAAGGCCTCGGCCCAGCGGCGCGGCCAGATATCCTCATCATCAGGACGATCGAAGCGTGCTGATCCGAGCCAATCGCGCATGGCGAGCTTCCGGCTATCTTTAATGCCAAGCCGTCTTTGTTCCGTCGAGTCGACGCAGAAGATTCCGCCCAGCGACCAGAATGCCTGCCCACCGAGGTTCTGCTCCCCTTCTTGGTCCACAATTAACGTCCGCACGCCGCGCTGTGATAACTCGAAAGCAGCTACCAACCCCGCTAAACCGCCGCCCACGATGATAACCGGGGCTGTCTGCTTGCCAGCGTCATCTATGCTCGCCATTGCGTCTATCGCGTTTCTACTTTTTGGTTTATGTTTAAATAAGTAAGGACCAAGATGATTACGAATTCATTTTTTTTTTGGGCAAAGTGAATTGAGTAGAAAGAACGTTTGTAAATTACGTCTTGGGTCTTTGCGTAAGCGTGAATAAGGGAATATGAAACCTTGTTAACCAAGTTAAAGCCGTAAATCGCACAGCGGGGTTGGTTCGTCCTCCTGCTGCTGCTGCTGCGGTACCTACCGCCGCGTGTACCGTCGCGTGGTTCCCCTCCCACCTGCTACCGAGGCTTCACTAGAATTTCTTATTCCATCGCATGACTATTGTCATTTCCGTGGTACAATTTCTTTTTACAACGTACAAATCATACGCTATAGTCGTCTGATGGTAGTAAATCCGCATTATGTAATGAGTTCCGTGAGCATGCTGAGCATTAGTTGCCTTTTTGTATTTTATTCAATTTGTTTCTTCAACCACTTTGCGTGTTGAGTGATATACGGAAATACGAAGGCTGCGGTCAAAAGTCTTGCACATGTCCAAATCTTAATAGCATCGATTTTCGTACGTCTTCTAACTTAATAATACTGTATCAGCCACATGCTAAGCTGAGGGTCAGATAGAGGTAGCCTATCCGCTGAATTCAGGTAGCTTACCGCTATATTTATAGCAACTTTAGCCACCATAACTTAAATAAAACCGTGCAGTCTCTTTTTACTCGCACGTAGCTTTGTCAAGCTCAGATGTGCAAGACTTTTGTGAGATGTACCTTAGTACATCTCAGCACGTGACTAATCGTCACGTGTCATTCAGACATTCAGATTCATCTTGAGTGTTTGTAAAAAAAAATAATAATATCTCTTAGATCATTAGTCAATCAATAGATCAATTGTTCAACAACTTTTGGCCCAACCTTCGTATATTTACTCTGTCTAGAAGCACAAGATGATCTACCGTAGTACGCAATTACAAGAACTGAGACCCAATGATCCGGGTCCGATTCGAATAACAACAGATCCGGTCAATTTAACTTTCTCGGCCGATGCTATCACCACCGCGTCGGTAGCCAAGGCCCAACACACAGAGCCAAACTGGCCGTCGTCGTCCAAGGTTATATTGGGCAGACCTTGACACAATAACCCTCCGTGAATTGACGCTGAAGCATATTGCCTAGCATGTGGTCCTACTCAATTGGTTCGTTTATGAATGCATTTACCCAATAATAATTATTGATCTCCTACTCGCATCAAGCCAGCACACCTCGCTCTCAGCCGCATGCGCTAAGTTGGCACACTGCGCCCAGCTCCCTCAAGGCCTCAGCCTGACGTGAATAAGACCAATTCCTTCTTCAATGCCCTTCTCATATCTTCCCCTTGGAAGATGAGTCTTTATCTAGAATGCAAAATTAGCGATGGAGTAAGCAGCGGGGATGCAGCGCGTCGGAGAACTAGATCCACTTGACGATAGTGGGCTCTGCCTATTGTCCCTAGATGGCGGCGGGGTTCGAGGGCTGTCGTCTCTGTATATCCTCAAGGGTATCATGGCACGATTAAACCACGAGCGCGGGTTAGAAAACCTCCCTCCCGTGAAGCCATGCGATGTGTTCGATCTCATTGGTGGTACGAGCACAGGCGGGTGAGTGTACTCTTATTCTCCTGATGGCGCAACTAACGAGACAGACTTATCGCAATCATGCTCGGTCGGCTCGAGATGGATGTCGATGAATGTATTTCGGTGTATAGCGAGCTTATGAGGTCCATTTTCAAAAAGAAATGGAACTGGTTCCCGATTAGCTTGACGGGTAAAAGCAGGTCACGGTTCAAGTCTGCGAAACTCGAGAGCGCAATAAAAGAGGCAATTATTAGGCATGGTTCCAAAGAGACGGATCTCTTCAACGATGGAGTCGACCGTAGATGTAGAGTGTAAGTCTCTCCCGAATACGCTCAGGAAAGCTCTAATGATATTAGTTTCGTCTGCACCATTGCGCATGAGACCAAGGAAATTGTTCGTCTAAGAAGCTACAATTTGCCTGATAAACTTCACATTCCTGCTACTATTTCTGAAGCTGCACTCGCCACATCCGCCGCAACGACTTTCTTCGATCCCGTTGATATCGGGCAACGAAGGTTCTCTGATGGCGCGTTGGGGGCAAATAATCCAGTAGAAGAGGTGGAGGGGGAAGCCTCAAACATCTGGTGTCCTGACACGGCAGATCTAAAGCCTCTTGTCAAATGCTTCGTTTCGGTGGGGACTGGGAATCCTGGGAAGAAACCGATTAAGCTTAAGATGCTTAAGTTCCTTTCCCAGACGCTGGTAGAAATTGCGACGGAGACCGATAATACGGAAAAGAGATTCATAGCTAAGTGGCGTCAACACTTCGATAACAACCGGTACTTCCGCTTCAGTGTCGACCAAGGACTACAGCATATCAAATTGACGGAATACCAGGAACAAGGCGCTATAGAGGCGGCAACAGATGGGTATCTTGATCATCAAGCGCAGGGATTTCGGGTACGGGACTGCGTTCGAAATTTGAAATTGAAGCAAAGTGCGTACATCGAAAACTATACGTGAAGTATTTGTTCTCCAGTTAACCTTCCATAGATGTCTCAGCAACGGACATCTCGCGTATGCTTGCCATAGGAGCGACACCTACTCATTCTATAGACAGTATGTTAATCTTATGTTCCCCGGTTTAACAGTGCTAAATGTTACGTAGTGTTAGAAAAGATCCGGAAAGACAGGTCAGATCTGAAGTACAGATGCGATATGTGGCTCAAGCCGTCGAATATGAGGGAAATTTACAACAACCAGATTCGAGAAAAGTTGCTTGGAACATGTGAATGGATATGGTCGCACTCTATATTCTCGGAATGGAGCAGTAACTCAACGTATCCAGCAGCCGTAGACCGTCGTCTACTCTGCATCTACGGCACCCATGGCTGTGGGAAAACTGTCCTGGCATCCTCGATTGTGGAGTCATTGAGAAATAAAGGAAAGAAAGTATTCTTCTTCTCTTTCTCTGGCGCGGATACTAGTCGACAAACCTTGGATAACCTAGCCCGATCATTGTTGTGGCAAGTATTACAGGAATCAATCTCGGACGAGAGCTTCGATATTATGCGAGACCTTATGTCGCGTGGCCAACCCTTAACCTCCGAGCTGTGGACTACCTTTAAAGATATCACAATATCTATATCAGGGCTCATATACTGGGTAATAGACGGAGTTGACGAATGCAAGGAATCTGGTGAAGAGCTCTTTAATCAGGTCATTGACCTTCTTACTGCCAACAAGAATGCGCGCGCTGTCCTCTTGGGGAGAACGCACGTCCTTCAGCCAATTAACCAAACGAATTACGCAATCGAGATTACTCCCAGCTTAATCGAGCCCGACATTGACGCATTCATTAATACTGAGATAGATAGGTCCACTATCCTCCAATCCCCTCAAGTTCGCGCCCTCGCATTCAAGACTCTTCGCGACGGTTCCCAAGGCATGTTCCTTTGGGTGAAATTGATGGTTCGCGACCTTTGTAAGTCTTCCTCCAAAGCGGAAGTCATTCAAAGATTGCACAATATGCCACAAGGTCTTCAAAAGGCTTACCGGCACTTCCTTTCACAACTCGTGGAGGATTTAGATGGTGTCGACCTCAGATTTACTCAACGCCTTCTAGCATTCGTTATAGCAGCCCGTCGGCCGTTGAAGATCGAGGAACTACGATACGCTCAAGCACTGGCAACCAGGTCCGATTTGAAGACATCACACGAATGCTCACTCGAGGATTGCATGCTAGAGGACATAGCTGGAAAAGTCCTGCGTATCTGCGGAAGTTTTATGCAAATAACCGATGGAGTCGTTTCGCTAGTTCATATATCTGCCAAAGAGTTTTTAACTAGACCAGAGAGCGAATGGTCATGCGATGGTAATCACAAAATCATCGACCTACGGGTCGATCTAGAAGAATCGCACTATTTGTTCGTCTCGACCTGCATTGACTACCTGGAAATTGGTAAATACGGCTTCCCATTGCAGGATCAGGATGAATGGTTGATGCTCTATGGTGTCCATCAATTTCTGGAGTATTCGTCCAAAAACTTGATTTACCACATTAATAGAGCTAGAAAGTTTTCTATTGACGTAGTCAACAAATTTGACCAATATTTCAGATCGGAAGCAAGCTTATCTTGGGTTGAATACTTCGCGATACATTTGGTGGAAGATGGGTCTTCTGGCGTTGAGGCTGAAGAGTTCAAAACCTGGATCGAAAATGGAGCCGAAGACAGGTTCTTAGAGCACGTTAACTTGCACTTACGTCGACAGCTTGAGAACATAAAGCAGAGCTTTGGTGAAAATGACCGGCGAACAGATTACTACAGGCTGTTCCTTGGCATGATGACGGATGATGACACTGATGAATCCACCAGCAGCGTATCCGATTACCATACCTCCACGCCCGACTTCGCCATACATACAGGTACAAATGATATTCGTCAGACAGTTCCCATGATGACGAAAATATTAAACCAGAACAGCGTGCTGCCGGCTCCGAAGCAACTCGAGTTATTCCTAAGATTGCGATACCATATTCAGCGAGCAAAGACTTTAACGGATCCTCTCGAACTTCTATTCCGTCTCATTTTACGAAATGCCGGGAACGTCTCTGTTTACGTATTGCTGATAATTGGCAATTTCTACGAAAGAGTGGATCAATCTGAGAAAGCCTTACAAGTTTATTACAGTATAATAACGAAATTTGGAGACCGTGAAGTTCCAATGAAGTATAGGATATGGAGTGCAATTGGCTCTACTAATTACGATCTCGATCGATATCAAGAGGCAGAGGAGGCGTATCAGCAGGCAGCTGAAGGACTGGGAAAGATACTTGGCCAAGGGCACCCCGACACTCTATCCGCGATGGACGAATTGGGATGCATTTTTCAAGATCAAGCAAAGGACACAGAAGCGGAAGAGACTTTTCAAAAGGTCTTAAAAGAAGAGCAAAGGGTATATGGCCCAGAGCATAGCTATACTCTAATTACCATGCGCAGTCTCGGACGCACTTTGTACAATCAAAAGAAATATGCAGAAGCACAAGAAATATTTCAACGGGAAGTACAAGGACGACAAAAAATACACGGCTTGGAGCATCTAGGTACTCTTTTAGCCATACAAGACCTAGGAGAAACTTTTAATAGGCAAGAAAAGTATGCAGAAGCAGAAGAAACTCTTCAACATGTGATAAAAGGGAGACAGAAGAGATATGGCGCAGAATGTAGGATTCCTTTCGAAACTTTGAATGAGTTAGGGATTGCGTTCTACGGCCAAGGAAAATATGAACGAGCAGAAGAAATGTATCAACAAGCGAGGAAGGGATGGGAAAACTTATATGGCCCAGAGGACAGAGATACTCTGGAAGCCCTATACAATTTAGCGAAGGTATTTAACGTAACTGGGAGGTATTTACAGGCAGAGGAAATGTATCGACGGGTATTAAAAGGATATGAAAAGGCATTTGGTCTAGAGGACGCAAGGACTCTTCAGACCATATGTGAGCTAGGATACGCCTTCGAGAATCAAGCCAAGGATGTACAAGCAAAGGAAATGTATCAACGGGCAGCAAAAGGGCGCGAAAAAACACTTGGGCCAAACCATAAAGACACACTACACAGCATGGAAGATTTAAAATATATCCTTGGCTGTTTGGAGGACGACGAATGGGAAGGGGAGCAGATGCGAGCGCTATTTGGCTAGGACAGCCTGATTCATATAGCTTGTATGATTCATATTCGGTCGTAATAATAATATACATCAATAGAATAAAGCCTTCTGTCATACACCAGAGGTCTCGGTACTAATCTCCATCATAAATAGTAATATATACAACGAAATATTCATGAGAATTCGGTAGTCTAACAAGGGGAGCCGGATTCCAAGATACTGTGAACCTCCTGAGCGAAGGTGCAGCCATTGTTCACATTGGAGTCGGAGAAACCAGCACTCCACATCATCACACCGCCAAACCTGGCGTCGCTCTTGTAGTCGTTGACGATGTCTGCGAGCTGCTCAGGCGTTGCGTAGTATGTCTCCCCGGTCGGTGCGCCGTTAGCAGCTAGCGGGGCGGCCGGGACACCGATGAAGATCTTGGCATCGGCCGAAGGGGTGTCGGCTGTCCACTCTACCCATTGGTCATAGTTAAACGGCGCGTTGCCGTTGACGGGAAGAGCGCACGGGTAGGTGTAGTTGTTATTGTTGTAGAACTGCGGCCAAAGATAGTCGAACGTGGAGTTGCCGATTATCACGCCCATGTTCGGCTCAGGGATGGGGCATTGAGGTGCTCCGGTGATGTAGTATGTGTGCGAGGAGTCAGACTCGAAGTTTGAGCGGAGTTGAGATATCATGTATTGGTAGTATTCGCTTCCTCTGTTGACTTCTATGTCAAAGTCGAAACCGTCAATGACAACGTCGCCAAAAGGCCGTTGTACGCTTGAGTTTCCGGGGTTTCCGTAAGCCTGCCAAAGGTAATCCCCAATAGACTCTGCCTCGTCTTGTGAAGACAAAGAGTAAGAAGCAGTAGCACCGCCTAATGATAGGATCACCTTGATACCGGCTCCTTGGCATGTTTTGATGGCTGCGGACAAGTCATCGCAGTTTTGCCCTTCACCCGTGTTACTAATGAAGCATGACTGGCCGACTGTGCCAGAAGGGATGTCGCTCCCGCTACCCCACGAGTACAAGAAAGCGAGAACAATTATGTCAATCCCAGAGTCAGCGGTACAATAAGTCGAGAGGTCATTGTTCTCGATCGTACCGCCGCCGTTCTGGCCCCAGTAGACAACACTCTGGGAACCTGAGGCCTGACGGGATGTGAGAGCATGAGGAAGAGCATGAGGAAGAGCCGTTGCTGCGCCGAGCATAAGGCTAAGGCAGTTATATACAGTGGCGGAACGCATATTGGTAAGTCAAAGATAAAAGGTATGTACAGAAAATAAGTATATATACAAGAAATGGATAACCTGTCTAAGGTAGTGGGTAGTATGTTCCGAAGGAGTGTTTAGAATGAAGGATAAAGGAGAGACTTGGTGGTTCGATCATGGTATATTGAAGCCTTCTCGAGGCTGGAGTAGATATATATTCCATTGTGCTGGTAGGTTGACATTAAGCCATCCTCCTCGCTATGTCAGGAGACGTTACATATATCACACGAAAAGACAGTCACGATACCTATAGCCTCGAACGGCAGTAGACCAAATCCCCTTGCAGTTTACTGGTAACATGCTGCTCTCGCCGTCGCTCATTAACGTTCTTGGAAAGTGCTCGGGAATACCGTCCTTATAATCAAAACTTAGAAACCAGATAATTGGTCAATAAATAATCCCAAGGGAGATTCGGTAAATGTCACGTACTATAAAAAACTACATAAGGTAGCAGTTCTCCGTCGATGATGGGATAAGGGGATACATGAAGCTTGCCTATGACCAAAAATTTCAGACAAGGTATAAGTTGCAGTAGCAGCAGTTATTTCCGGACTTAGTAAAAGGCCGCGTAAGGGATAGTGCACATGTGAAAAAGAGGAAGTCGGCGTGATAACGGGCAAGGAGCCTTGCCTCGCCTACGTCTGACCTCAGGGGTCCGGAGATGTGGAGTCGTGCAATCGGCCGATGATCCCGGTCTTGGCAAGTTGGCCCGATCAAGGAGGACGTAACACAACGGGGTCTCATAATCTCCATCACTACGTTACAGCAAAACAATTCAAGCCAACAGATATTTGGTGTTGGTGTTGGAATAGTCAAACGAGCAGCAGATGAATGCTTTTGCAATAGGGGGAGATTAGAATGTTAAATCAAGCTCACGACGAATGACCTGCAACGTTAAACAGTTGACCCGCTTTATCAGGAATACTAGGGTAGCAATGGGTATAGAAATAGCTATATCTACGTTGATCATGTAGTGAGCTACCTTTTTGGGTAACTCGCGGTAGCGTGATAAGAGAGAGGCATGATTGTCCGAGCTATACCGACGGCTATTCTAACTCATAGGTATCTCAGCACCAATCAGGAAGGCTTTAAATCGACTCCCTTCGCTGACGTACAGTTTCAATGCAGGTACTGCAAGGCACGTGGGGGAGAAGGTTCTCTTAAGGATCGCATCTGACACTGACATATTAAAAGACTACGTCCTCAAATTCCGGGATATCCAACCTCGGCGTTTCTATACTTAACTACGTACCTAAGGTATCATTGGTATGCAAACTTCCAATGTCATAGCTCGTAAGACTATATGGTATGGAATCAGGAACCCCTGGAGAGTAAAAGCTGACATACCCCACCTTTATCTCCTTTTTCATTTTATTAAAAAGGACTTTAAGACATCGTATAAGCCAAAAGGAAGATATTATAACAGGTACTTAAGTCCGGATAAGTATAAAAAGCGTCCGAAAGCCGAGTAAAAATCGACCTTTAATTTTAAATGTGTTTCGATTAAATAATTAATAAAGTGTTATATTATAAAACGTTAAAAAAAAAGTGTAATATAAACCACGGGTTAAAAACTTATATAAGTTAAAAGTTTACGTTAATATAAAATATTATTATTTATTTTAAATTATATATTATTTAATTAAAATAAAATGTTTTATTAATTAAAAAAAATTAAAATAAATTTAATGTTTAATATTATATAATATAATAAAAAATTTAATATTAAATGCGTTATATATATATATAATATTATTTTTATAACGTTATATAATAAAATTAACGGTTAATAATTACGCGTTAATATTATAAAAATATAATAAAAATTAATTTAATATAAAAAAATATTATTATTAAACATATATTTAAATTAAATATTTAAATATTTTTATTTTAAATTATTTATATTAAAAAAATAATTAATATATTATTATATAAATATAATAAAAAATACGTTAAAATTAATTAAATAATAATTTTTATATAATAATAATTATAATTTAAAATGCGTTTAAATTATTAAATTAATTATTAAAAAAATTTTTATAAAAATTTTATTATTTATAAAATTTAATTTAAATTTATAATTAATATAATAATAAAATATAATATTTTATTTAAAAATATATATAATT